CTCCAACGCCATTTTTCTCTCCGCCGACGACACATCCGAGAAGGCGGGTCCGTTCCGCCCGATGGGGTTGACGAATCTCCATATCTCAACCTCTGAGGAAGGTCACGCAGAACTGTCATAGTTCGATGCTGAAAGCCCGAGAGTGTGTGCTGGATTCTCAATGGGTGGAAAATATCCCTGCTGGGTTTCTCTTATCTAATGGACCTGTTGTATCCGCGCTTCTGGTTTGTGGTTAAGCAAGGGCTTGGTCACTGATCATCTACAGGGCGCGGGCGGGAATGCTAGCAGGGTGCCTAGGTAGGTACCTACCTTAATCGGGTTGGTTACACGGTATTACCGCTCAATACGCTTTTACAACGGCCGGGGCATCCCCAGTTGCGCTCGTCTTGGAGGATACTTTCCAATGGTTATGGGCATAATCTTTGCCATTGAACTTGCTCCTAGCTTTATAATCCTAGTAACTGTTGCGTAGGAACCCTGACTGAACTCTTTGTTTGTCCTGTGGAATAAATCGACGCGTACCGACAGTCAACTGTAAAGAATAATGTGCCCCGCGCGCATAGATAAGGCTATCGCCGGGATCGGAGCCAGATGATTGATAAGTGTCGGGCAGCCGATAAGCACTTCAAGTTCAGCCTTCAAGCACAACTCTCGGTGAGAATAGCGACGCTCTGGGGACAGGTATCATCAACATGAAGTTAAATCCTAGGCTGCTAAGCTAGAATCTGCTCTATAAAGACGTCAAGAGATACAACTTGTGGACAGAGTGAATCGACTAAGCAAAAGCATCCGACTAGGAAAAGGGTTGATGACTTTATGAGTCTCTATTTCTTCTCGACATACTTTCCAGTGGTCCCGTCTAGTTGGGCTTCCAGGACAGCTCCGGTCCCGTTGAGCACACTCTGGATAGCCTCCGGTAGGAGCTTGCCCAGCTCGGCCACTGTAGCCGCGCGACCAGCCCAAAGCCCACCTCCAGCTGCAGCCTTTGCGATGCCTGAATAATCTGGGGTAGGAGCGAAAGAGATATTGAGGTCTTCGTTCGTTGCACGCGAGCCATCTCCATTGGGGTGAACCAGAAGCATGCTTCTGCGGGGTGCATTCCAGCCCTTGTTGTTCAGCACAATCGTGAGCACTGGGATGTTGTAGCGCCGGGCAATCCAGTAAACGGAGCCTGGTACAGAGAAGAGAAACGTCCCGTCACCCACAACCTGGCACACGAATTTACCCATATTTTTACCCCCGTGCTGATCATCGGTAGCCAGCTTGATCCCCAACGCACCGCCGCCGGACCATCCCAGGCCACCACCACCACAGTTGATCCAGGAGTTGGGCAAGGTGGCATTGATCTGGTCGGCTACAATCGCAGTAAGAGTTACCGATTCAATGGCCCAGATGGTGTCTTCTGGGCAAGTTTTTCGGACTTGAGCCATGAGGTAAGACGCATTCAATGAAGCGTCGTCGCCTCCCGAAGGTACTACAGCAAGGTCGGCAACAGCTTGACGCGTCTTCTTATATTCTTCTTCGCGGCGCTGACCGAATGCGACTTGTTCTTCCGAATTAATTATCTCCTGCAGAGCCTTGCTAGACGCGACGAAGTCGTTGATCTGCTTGAATGCAGTCGCAGACTCTGCCCGAAAAGTTGCTAGGGAGGGAATGTAGAAGACAGGGATTTGCTGCTTGAGCGGATCGACATCAATGTGGATGATCTTGGCTGAATCCGACGGTTTGCACTGTGTTGGGATCCAGGGTACATCGCAATCGGCAACTAGGATGAAGTCGGCGGTCTTGATAGCGTCATGAACACCATAACGGAGTCCCAACGACGCAGGATGGTCGCCCGGAAAGCACATGTCGCATCCGCCCGTGTCCAAAACCCGGAGACCCTTGAACGTATCGGCTAGTGTGACTAGCTCTTTCACGCCCCGAGCAGAGCGACCTGAGTAGCCTACGATCGCCAGAGGCTCTTTGGCAGCGGCCAAATGAGAGGCAATCAGCTCGACGCCCTCAGGTGTTAAAGCTGATGGTGCAACCGGTCCCCAGACGCTTTGAGCTAGCGTGTAGGGCTCTATCTCCTCTTCCATAACCTCTCGGGCCCCGGTCAGGTATACGGGACCTTTCGGGTCACTAGTCGCAAACTGAAGTGCCCGGTTGACCATTTGCTTGATGTTCTTGCCAGACTTGATTTCGGCCGAATAACGACAGTATTGGGACACGATCTGTTTCTGGTCGGGAACATCTTGGATCCAGTGAATGTATTCGGTGCGGGAGCCGCGCATCTCTCCTTCGATCGTAAATGGGGAGAGGCCGGCGAAGATCAGAACCGGAGCGCGACCGCAGGAAGCGTTGTGTACAGCAGCGGCTAGGCCTTGTGTCCCAACATCCACGTGAACGATCACGCACTGAGGCTTTCCGGTAAGTCGAGCGTAGCCATCTGCCATGGAGAGCGCGACCATCTAGCGTGGATGAGGCAATGTCAGCAGACTAGAGTCGAGACCATCCCCGAATGAGACAGGGTATGAGAGGCGAATCTAGAAATACCTCATTGGGGCAGGTGATGATCCTGGGGAATTGGTCTGGCTTCTCCTTCTGGCCCTTCACCATGGCCTCTAGGATTGATGGATGATCGGAACCCAAGTTGACGAACGCATGTGTCACTCCAGCCTTTAGAAGTCAGCTACTGAGACTTGTTAGGTGGTTAAAGCTTAGCTTTCTACCTCCCAGAGCGCCTCGAAGAAGGCGAAAGATGCGGTATAAACCCTGGTCATAGCAAAGTCAGGCTCTTGAAGCTGTAAGGTCATTTCGAATGAGCACATACATAGTTGGATCTACCAATAGAAAGTTGAAGCGAGGTGGGCAACTTTGCTTGATGGTAAGCAAGAATTCCAGAGCATATAGAACGAGCGAAGAGAGACTCAAGCTCTCAAAACTCCTATAAATACAAGCAACTCAGCGGAACCCTCGCCGGGATGGAGAGAAGTCCGAAAGATTAATAATGAGCATAGCCCAGCTCAGGTGTTTGGCTCACTATCCGACGGTCTCCAATGGTAAACCGTACCCCAGCTGTGGAGCGACAGAGGGGGATGCCCGAGGACCAGCTTGAAGCCATCGCAGTATCTCCGCTGCGGGGTAAGTCCGTTTGACATTGAATAGTGGCATGCGGCATTGGTTTTCTTTTTTGTACGTGTACTTCCACAAGTTGATCCTATTGTTATTGGAATTGCTGAAGCGGACTGATGTATCTTGAGGTTCTAGTGAGGCTCGGTGGTGGTTTCATACACCCACCTGCAGGTTAGTTCAATTGTGAATTGTCTTCCAGAATCGAGACAAGCCTAGTGACCCGCCAAAGTTGCCGGCATACAAGGAAGTAACAGATAGTGTGGAAGTCTCCCACCTCTAACCGACCCGGAGGAGTGAGCTAAATAGGGTCTAAGTGCTGATAACCTGACACATGCCTGCGTGGAGCTACCTAGACAAGGGGAAACCAGCCGCAAGGCTGATGGAAGTACCGGAAAGCAGAAAAGAATAAGTTAATAACCCGCGAGTTGGTATCAGTCCCCCGCTTACAATGTAGCTGTCAATCCTTCCGCGGCTCCTTGCAGGCTCTCGCGACCAGCACAGCGATACAGCTGTTCACCTCGACGGGAAATTTGCCTTTCGACCTACTCTGCCTTTGCTCATGAGCATTTATCCAAGATCTAGCTTGGTTCGTGACGATGTGAAGTGACAGAGACCAACCACTGCCATGGTCAATAACAAGCGCAACGCAAAGTCCAGTGTCTGAAGGTTCCTACCATGCTTTCGACTTGTTGCATGACTTATGACTGGTATGAATATCCTCATGACCTCAGTCTCAGTCCTATCGCTCAATTACGTCTTCTGAGGCGGCGGGTATGACATAGTAATCCGCCTGGGTTGATCGACGCTGTGAGTATAGATATAGGCCATGACATGAGTAGTTGATCTGTTTAGTGGCTGCTAAGCTTCTTGAAACTACCTTAGTGGGTGGACCACTGGAGATAGTGGTTGGAACTTGATTGTCGTACAGTCCCTGCGATGTCCGATGAGGGATCAATGGACCTATATCAGGTCGATTGAATATATTTCTACCTATAAGAATCAATTTAGCGAGTTGCTCTGACTGGAGATTACCAAATAGCTCGTCATAACTAATTAGAACATGTGAAATTAGAAGATCATCTAGGCTTATTGGAGACTATAGATGATATACGTGGAAATGCTACCTGGGTGCCTGCGCCTATGACGTCGCCCCGTCCGAGAGCCCGCGTTAAGGTCCACGCTTTCGTCATGCACTCAATGATGAAGATGGTGATGGGGCAGATCATATTAATTTGAGGGGCTTTGGAGATGGGATAAATCATGCTGCCTGTTCTTGGTTGTTAAAGTATGGCTCGCTGAGGTGAGTTCTATAGCAGAAGCCTTGTATACGTCATTTAGAGGAACATGTCTCAGACGCACCAGTTATCTGACCAGCCTTATGACTCTGCCATTGCAGCTGCTTTGAAGCTTTCTGGAGCAATTTTCTCAATCTGTCTGAGTACTTTGGTCATTTGGATAGCGCGCCAGCCAACGAGCGATAACCATACCTGCTGCGACATGATCTCGGATAAGGTGTACCGACTATGCCACCACGACAAGACAGTAAGCTCAGAGCTTGCGAGGGATCCAAATCAATCACCGGCAAAGTTGTTTCATAAGCTGTATCATGAGCACAAGCTGAAGGAGAAGCTTGTTGGAAGCAAGCAGCCAACCGACGACTGTCAAGATGATCTGCAGAGGGCGTATGAATGTGGGAACTGGGGAACAGCAAAACCGAGTAATCTATTTCTTAAGGTTAGATTAAATACCCCCCCAATCAAAGCAGACTGAATCATGGTAGATATGGTGAGATCAGTTCTGACTTGCATTTATGAAAGATATACCACGACGCTCTCTGTACGTTGGACAAAAACTCTCTGGGAGGAGTCGTCTCTCCACCACTGATGGGCAGTCACGGTGTCGTTCCCCTAACCATCGTGGCCCCGTTGCCGGACCTGTGTCGGCATGTAGCGAACTGCATCGCTCGGGCTGAAAAGGAGGTTTTCTTGGGGACCAATTTCTGGATCTACTCCGATGCATCGACCCTTGTAACCAACGCGTTTCGGGAGCTGTCAAGACGCGCTGGCGAGCGGGGGAGCAAAGTGGTTGTGAAAGTGTTATACGACCGGGGAAATCCTCAACAGCTCTGGGATAATCACCTGAGCGTCGGTGAGAAGCAGTATGCAGATCCCAATGGCAAAGTCCGACTGCCTCCTGCCAAAGAAATCCCCAACGTCGACCTTCAAGTCACCAACTACCACCGCCCTATCTTCGGAACTTTTCACGCCAAATTCATGGTCATTGATCGAAGGGTTGCTTTGATTCAGAGCAGTAATGTTCAGGATAACGATAACCTCGAGATGCTGGTCCATGTCGAAGGACCCATTGTGGACTCGTTCTATGACACCGCGTTGATCTCGTGGGGGAAGGCATTCAACACGCCTCTTCCAATGATTTCCTCTCCGGCCGCAAGTGCTGGGATTCCAAGCTTCTCTGCTCAGCATTCACAGGCTGAATCTGATGAAAACCTACATTCTCCATTACCTGAGCACACGACGCACGATCCTCATTATGATGGTGATGTCCAGCAAGAGGCCCAGAGGGTCAACGACACAATTCGTCCCCGAGCAGGGGAATCGAAAACTCAAGCTGCCACTCGTCATCTGAGTATGTTCCCTGCCCCCCCCCCCCTGGATAGATCGCAAGCTAAAGAATCATTCAGATACTACAGTTCAGCGAGACACGACCGGTGACGCCCCTGATAGCGACCAGGAACCTCCAATGCGACCATACGTGACTCTACCACCTCACAAGCCATTTCCCATGGCCCTGGTCAACAGAGAACCCTGGGGAGGCAAGTTCCTTCATCAGTGCCTAAGAAAGACTACGATTGCTAACAACACTTCAGCGCCAAACCATACCAGCATCTACACTCCACAAAACTCAGCCTTTCTCTCCGCCTTCAAACACGCGAAGCACTCCATCTTCATCCAGACTCCGAATATGAACGCAGAGCCCATCCTGGAAGCGTTACTCGATGCAGTCCGTCGCGGCGTCACCGTCACATGCTATCTGTGCCTTGGCTACAACGACGCAGGCCAACTCCTTCCCTTCCAGAACGGAACGAACGAGATGATCGCGAATCAACTATTCCGCTCCCTGCATGCGGGCGAAGAACGCTCGCGACTGCGCATATACAATTACGTAGGCAAGGATCAAACTAAACCGATCCACAATAAATACAAGAAGCGAAGCTGCCACATTAAGCTTATGATAATTGATGAGCGGGTGGCTATACAGGGTGAGTACTACGCAACCTCTCGCATACAATCGTACTGACAACTCAGGGAACGGAAACCTCGACACTCAATCCTTCTACCACAGCCAGGAAGTGAACCTCCTCCTTGACTCGCCGCTTGTATGCCGTGTCTGGTTGGAGCAGATAAACCAGAACCAGAACACGGCGCTTTATGGCGCAGTGAGCAGCGAGGACGGGTGCTGGCATGATCCGGTTAGTGGTGAGATGCCCAAGGGCTCTATTGGGGTGGACCCCGGACGCTTCAGTTGGGCTAAAGGGGTTGTTGGTGCTGTACAAAGGGTGAGAGGTGTTGGGGGATTTTAGTATTGCTCATTTTGGCCGGTATATATTTGCGTTTATTGTCCTCTATTGTTTTGAGTGGGCTGCCGCCATCTACTTAGTGTATATATCCTTTCAGTCAAGCTTGTCCATATCTTGAGATGTGTTTGGCAAGTGATGGTCATGATCATACCCACATTGGATGTATAGGTTGGACATGTACGACTATCCTGTGGCACATCTGAGTGCCAATGTCTTGAAGTAGTGCTACCTTCAATGCAACCTCACGCTAGCGTTTAGCACACGAACAGAGAATGCTGACGAAGAGGCACCAATACATTAAATCAAGTATCATCATCGCCTGTCTTCATTCCTCGACCTGAGAGTACTTGTTCTTCCAACAGTATGTCCTGCCCATACGACAAACCCATCGTCGATATCACCCAGTATGTATTCCACTACCACATCGACAGCGAAAAAGCCTGGTCAGCTGCACGTGTGGCCCTCCTAGACGCCATGGGATGCGCCATCGAAACACTCTCCACGAGCGAGGAGTGCAAGAAACTACTCGGCCCCGCTGTGCCAGGCACAGAGGTCCCGAATGGCTTCCGGCTGCCAGGGACAAATTTCAGCCTGGACCCGGTCAAGGGAGCCTTCGATATGGGCACTTTAATCCGGTATCTGGATCATAATGATGCGCTAGGCGGGGCAGAATGGGGACATCCCTCTGGTAGCTAAAATTGTCCCCCATATCGAACTGAATAGCACTGACGACGCGCATAGATAACCTGGGCGCCATCCTCGCAGTCGCAGACTGGCTATGTCGGGCCTCCGCAGCAGGGAGATACAACCACACCGGGCCCCCACTCACAATGCACACATTACTCACCGCGCTCATCAAAGCATACGAGATCCAAGGCTGCTACCAGATCAGGAACGCCTTCAACGCCTTCGGCATCGACCACGTCATCCTCGTCAAGCTGGCCTCGGCCGCCGTCGTGGCCTGGCTCCTCGGTCTAACCGAGGAGCAGACGCTGGCGACGCTGTCGCACGTCTGGATGGACGGCCATCCAAACAGGGTGTACAGAACGGGCGCGAACACGATTCCGCGGAAAGGTTGGGCGGCAGGTGATGCGTGTATGCGTGCGGTGCATTTGGCTCTGCTCGTGCGTGCTGGCCAGCCTGGTGCACCGAAGCCGCTAAGTTCGTTGCCGTTCGGGTTCTATGCGCGGACATTTGGGGCGAATGGGTTCGAGATGCCACGGCCGTTTGGGGTGTGGACGATTCAGAATGTCCTGTTCAAGGTGATGCCGGTTGAGGGCCATGGAATTGCGGCCGTTGAGGCGGCGCTTGTGCAACTTGGTAAGCTTCGGGTGAGAGGGTTAGGGCCGGAATGTATTGCCAGGGTTGAGGTTCGGACTACTCAAGCGGCAGATTCGATCATCAATAAGCGAGGGCCGCTGTATAATGCTGCCGATCGTGATCATTGCATCCAGTACGTGATCGCGCTCGCCTTTCTGAAGGGATCGGCGCCCGAGGCGAGGGATTATCGAGATGAGAGTTACTGGGCCAGGAGCGAGGAGCTGGCTTCTCTGCGAGAGATGATCTTCATTCACGCTGACGAGCACCTTACGAGAGACTATTTGGATCTAGAAAAGAAGAGCATCGGCTCCGCACTCACAGTCTACCTGCAGGATGGCTCTGTACTGCCCGAAGTTCTGGTCGAATACCCGGCGGGTCATGTACGGAATCCTGCCACAGCTCGAGCAGTGCAAGAGAAGTTCACCAAAAACATGCAGCTAATGTTTAACGAGAAGGAGATCTCGAAGATCCTCCAAGACGTCGAGAAGGACGACCTACTCATCATGAATTTCGTCGAGCTTTTCGCGAGGCAATCATCACCAAGTCCGAGGTTGTAGTGGCAACGCTGGAGTGAGATATCATTTTCATACTGTGGGAAATGAAACTCTTATCTGAATTCATCACACAATGTGACCAGAGCAGCCAGCATGTGGCACGTGAATGAGGTAAAATTGTCTTTGAAGCGCTTCATGGCAGCGTTCACCATAGCGATGAACGCCTAAAGCAAGCCGTCAGAACCTCGATCAACGATTACGCAATCTTGCCAACTCCTTGAAGAGTAAGATAAACATCCGTCCCCCAGCCCCACAGACTCTGAATGGCGATACTACCACCAAAGTATTCCGCGTAGGCTCTGCTAAGCGGCAATCCATACCCAAGTCCCGCAATACTGCTCAGCTGGCCTCCACTAGCAGAGATGGTGTTCAGAGCATCGAGATTTCCGTTAGCCGAGTCTAGCATGCTTGAATCGGAGAACGTAGTGAAACTATAGGACCAGATGTTGGGCAATACCTCAGGCGGGATGCCACCCCCCCTGTCCCTTATTCTAATGGTTATGCTCTGCGACGACGGTGTTGAGAATTTAATTGACTCATTGGCATCTGCCGTACCAACCACGGTGTCCATCTCGAAGCCAACGTCGGCATCAGGGTAGATACCCGGGGCTTTTGACATTCTCCCGAGTGCATCGCGGGCATGATGGCTCGGAACGTCCGGCGCTGCAGCAATCGTAACTTCTATGGGCTCACGCTCATTTCCACACTCAATAACCGCTCGAAATGCATTCTTCAGCAGCTCGGTGATGATGTACTCGACATGCACGGGTACGTGCGCAAACGTGGCATCCGGTTGACCCCCGATCTTTAGCCGCGGCCGCACGCCGTATTTCAGCTCACAAATCTCCCCAACAAAATCTTCGCAGACCTTCACGATGCGAGCAGGCTGTAGGGCCGTATCAATCACACCTATATAATTCGACGGAACCGTGTTCTCAGACGACTGCTCTGTTCTGGAACTGACATCACTAACTGGCTGCGAGGCAAAGTGGAGGGCCAGATGTTGCTCCGCTATAAGCCGAGTGCCAATCCGCGCCCGTAGATGGGTGTCTAGAAATCGAGTCACATCGGCTGAACTGATATATCTCCTGCATTCAAGAAACCCGCGTGCCAGTATGGGGATTGTATTTGTGTGCGTATGCACTAGGTCCGCCAGTACATCTGCGAACTTATTCTCCTCTTCAAGCGTGGTGACCTGCCGTTGCTGATAGGGTAGAAGAGTCGATAGGGAGTGGACATAATTGTTATAGATCTTTGAGACATGTGGATTCGAAACGACAATGAAGGGGAGGTTTCGTAACGCTTGTATACGAGATGCCAGTCGGGCAGGTAGAAGGGATAGTGTGAAATTCGCAGACGCGAGTAGTGCATCTTTTGACAAAGGTGGGCGTCCGTGCCTGAAGGAAGACAGAGTGGTCAGAAATGATCAGATGTCTCGAAAAATCTGCGGTGCCTCACTTGAGTAGATCTGCGAGCGTCAGTGGGCGTCGACGGCTAGCCGCAAGACGCGCGACTTCATCATTCGCGCCATGTGTGAATGGCCGATGTAGTGCCGGCTCATGTTGTTCTTGAGATGATGATGTCGAGTAAATTCGCACCTTGTAAAGGGAGCGAGAGGGCAATTGACCCTTCAGATGATGCTGGTATCTCAGAGTCGACACCCTAAGAATTCTTGTGGCTGTCATCATGGACGCTAGCCATCATGAACGGAGTTGAGCGACAATGGTTGAGCCAAGTCATTGAAATCCAACAATGACTTCACCTTAACTCCGGATCGACGTCGAAATGACACTTTACCGAAAATGGATAGAGCCACGTGATGGGCATCCACTAAGCCGCATACAACGGAGAACGGACTGTCCATCTCCTGTCTTCTCCACATATAAACCCTCACGAGCCTTCTCACCCAGGAAGGCCATACTCTATTGAATCTTCAGAACAGGCTCTCAATCCAGGCGCCCTGCCTAGGATAAGGGACAGCTCCCCCTCCGCGCGCTGCCTGACACCCGCC